AGTTCAGGTTTGAATGGAAAGTGTAGCCTCTGGGGCTGTCAGGCCCACTCACTCAGTCCCAGAGGTGACACACTTACCTTGGATTCACTTTGAGTCTCACGGAACTCCCACACACAGTGGGTCCACCTGGAATTCTGTGTTCATTAGTCATAGCAAATGCTATATGCAAATAGGGGACAAGGAAGGCAGACACACACAGGGTGCATTCTCTTGTGTTCTTGCACGTGTTCCATTGTCCTATTAGACTTCACTTATAGAACACAAGTTCAAAGGTAAAATTCTTAAGAATTTCAAGATGGCAACAGCAAAGCATTAATCCACTGGTAATCCCTTCTGAGCCAGGGCCCTGTATGATGGCACAGATCACATGCCCATGAAGCCGGCCCTGGGCATGGCACCCATGGGGAGTATAGGCAGTTAGGTATGGGCAAGAGATAAGCTGGCAACCTGAGGGCCGAATTTACCCCAAGATGTTTTTACAGTCTTCTATTTGAATGCTTTCAGGTCAGGATGCTCTTCCAACCCACCACAGTCTCTGTTGCTGCCTAATGTCTCACTCTGGGCCTGCTTCACCTATTTCAGTTCCTGCCGGGCCCCTGGAGGCATTTGAATTTGAGAACTCTGGATGAAGGAGATGGCAGGAAGTAAGAGTGTCAGTGCAGGAGGGGCTGATGTGCTGTGTTAGGGACTTGAGGCTTCACGCGGTGGCTGGTGATGGTGAGTTAAGGGTTTAAGCAGAAAAGCAGCTCACGACTACTGGGTGGGATAGGTTAGAAGGGGGCAGAGATGAGCCAGAGAGCGTAACTGGCTACTAGACATTTTTCTCCTGTGTGTCCTCCTGGTTCCTCAACGGCGTAACTGGAGTGATCCAGGCAAGAGGCAGTGAGGTCTAAGCTAAGCCACAGAGGTGGAGAGAAGGGCAGAGAGGTGAAGAGGTGGGAGACAGACTGGCTGCAACGCAGCGACCAGTGGGAGTGTGGGTGGAGGAGAAGGGGACGTCAAGGATGACCAAGGTTCCTGGCTTGGTTAATAGGTGGTGCACCACGCCTTTCTCTAGGACAGGAAGTACAGGAGGAGCAGGTTGTGAAGCGACTGAATTCCATTTTTAATCCACTAAGTTCGAGGAACCAGGAGGACACACAGGAGAAAAATGTCTAGTAGGCAGTTGGATGTACAGTGCTCAGAAACAAGCTCTGGGCTTCGAGTCATCAGTAAGAGCTGAGTTTGCCCAGTGAGCGCAGGAGGAGTGAGAAGAGAAGAGGCCAAAGCGGGGCTCTAAAGGATGACATTTGAAAGGTGGGCAGAAAAGAGAAACCAGCCAGAGAGCTGGAGAAGGCGTGACCAGGGAGGTGGGCGGGCACCAGGAGAGCATGGTGTGAAAGCTGAAGTGGGTGGGTGGGTGTCGGAAATGATCCACAGTTTCAGACCCATAACAGGCCTGACTAGAATAAAAGCACCGAGAGCATCCCTGGCGGGCGTGCACGAGCGTTTCAGGCAGCAGTCGTGCTGAGGGTTTGAGGAGCGTGAGGGCTCCCCTCCACCCTGCGGGGATGCCTGCCAAGTGAGCGCCACAGCTGAGAGCCCAGGAGGGCAGGGGAGCCTCTTGTTTGCTGATTTATTTTTTCAAGATGGTGAGATTTGAGCAGGTTTGTATGCCGAGGGGAAGAGCCCCTTCTTTTCAGACCCTGGGAATCTTTGAAGCAGGGCCAGCTGCCTCCCAGGACTCCTGATGATTAAATGAGTTAATACATAGAGAGTGCTCCGTCCATGTTAGCCGTCACCGTGCCCGGGGGAAACGTCTAAGATGAGTTGCCAGCAGCACTCTCTGTTCTCTGCAGCTCCTTTGAACTGTCTGCCATCTTTCTCTCATAGCCCTGGAAGAGGAGTCAACGTGCAGTGTGCTCTCTCCAAGGCTGAGAGTTTGCTGCCAAGGGTGGGAGCATCTGAACGACCCCAGATTCTCAGGGGTCATGAGTCTCAGGGGTGATGATGAGTCTGGGCCTCATGGTTTACTGACCTTCTTCCTCGAACCGGTCTTCACGTGCTCTCAAACCACAAGAGTCTGTCCCGCGTTCCTGCTTGTGCTTGGCTGCCCTTCGTGCCGCCAGCATATGCTGTCTGTGGGCGAGTGGAAATACGTCCTGAGGTCCTGGGTATCAGGACTTCAAGGTTGCAAGCTGGGCCTCCCCTCTTCCTACAGAAGTAAGGATGCCTGACTCCAGAAGCAGACTCCATCTATATTAGTTTCCTATGCCTCTTGTAGCAAATTATCACAAACCTAGTGGCTTAAACAACAGAAATTTATTCTCCAACAGTTCTGGAGGCCAGAAGTCCAAAATGAGTCTTACAGGCCTAAAATCAAGGTGTCAGAAGGGCTGGTTCCTTCCCGAGGCTCCAAGGGAGAATCCATTTCTTGCCTTTTCTAGCTTCAGATGGCTGCCAGCATTCCTTGGCTTGTGGCTGCATCACTCCTCTCTTTGCTTCCATTGTCACGTTGCCTCCTCTTCTCTAGTCAGATCTCCCTCTGCCTCCCTGTGATGAGGGTACTTGTGATTGCAGTGAGGACCCACCTGGATAATCAGGATACTCCCCATCTCAAGATTCTTGACGTAATCGCATCTGCAAAGTGCCTTTTACCATATAAGGTCACATTCACATGTTCCTGGGATTAGAACCTGGATATCTTTGGAGCCATTACTCAGTCGACCACGCCGTCATCAGAGCGGATTCTCAAGCACTCTTGGGAAGTGGATAGGGCATATATTATACTCGCTTTGCTGCTGAAGAAATGAAAGCTCTGTGACATTTTAGAGGCAACACAGACTTTGGAGTCAGTAGCAGGGCCAAGAACATGGCCAGGCCTCTGGCTGCAAGCCCGGGGCACATTCTATAGCCCCACATTAGGGCCCTGCCGTCGCAGAGCCTCAGTGTAGGGATTTGGGGCTGCCCGGAGCGACCGACTACATCAAAACTTAGATGAGTCCTGGTTTCCAGGAGCTCATCTGTAGTTTCCATGCCTGGTCAGAGAGGTGGCATAGCCATAGCAACTGCCTGACAGAAACTCCTTGCCTCCCACCACGGCCATTGGTGGGCTTCCGGGGCATGGGCTGGGTGCCTCTGGGACAGGGAGTTGGTGTCCTGGCTGGTCTTTGCCAGGGGAAGGGGGCACATAAAATGCCCCTCCCTGGGGATGGCACACTAGGGCTCACCTCAATGCAGAGGGAGCATGGTTCCTCCACCAGCAGCCGGGGCCCTGCTCAGCGCCAGGGAATGAGATATTTTCCATCAGACCTCCACTCCCTGGGCTCAGCCAGAGCCTTCTATTTATTGTCTTGAACAGATGAGCTCACTTGTGGGGGAATGAGGCTTTGGCTGGTAGGTTCTGTTGTTTGTCTTACGGGGACTGAATCCCTCCCCGCTCTGTCAGACCAGGACCTAATAAACCCCACACAGAGCTGCCTGAACCCTGCCAATTGCACCCAACTGTGGGGCCTGCCTGGGAAACAATGTTCATCCCACTTCCAGCCGCCTGGCTGCCCCAGGCCTGGGGCCAAGGGCACAGCGCCTGCCCTGTCCTGCCAGTTTGGGCTCCTTCCTCAGACCACTAATGGGGGAGCAGAACGGATGGAACAGATTAGAACAATTTGGAAATAGGGGTGGCCTGGAATTTAGAGAACCCCAAATCTGAACTGTAGGCCTTTGTCCTCTTGTCTCAGGTGAATGTCAGGGACCAGTTATTCTCATCACTGTTGCCTATCTGTGCACCAGTCTTGGGGCAAGTCGGGGGTGTACTCCCAGGAGGAGTGGGGAAAGTGTGAGAGCCGGATTCATCTGCTTCCCCCTCGCCCCTCCATCGCCCTCTTCGCATGTCCTCGCTGACCCACTAGTGCAGTGATAGAAAGAGTAGTGCCCTCAGTAGTCTCGTGTGATTTCAGTATCATTCACGACCGTGTTCAATAATAATAGTGCGTAGTAAGTGTTGCAGGCTTTCGACTTGGTCTAGAACCCAGCATGGTTCTAGTGGCTCTTTAGGGCCTCTCCTGGGCACCAGGTCACTGCAAAGAGCCACTCAGGAGGACATTGCTGAGTTTCTGTCCCATTAAGGCATACTTGACCTTTGAAGAAGGCCCTATAACCAGAGTAAGCTCCTTATGTGGGAACTTGGTCCCCTGCCTCTCCAACTCCCCAGAAGGGGGCCCTGGCATCCTGCCCACAGTAGTGACAGGGGCATAGGCTTGAGGTCAGCTCTCTAGGACCTGGCAGGTGGGCCTCAGGGGCATGAACATCCACTGCTCAGTCCGGTCTGGCCTCTGCTGGTGGCCTGGGCCGAGCGCCTCGGGGCAGCTCAGCATCTGGTGGAGCTCCATGTTCCTGGTCACAGCCGGCAGATTCCTCACCTCGTGCTGCCGTGTATTCATCCAAGTTTCAGAACATCTGTTCAGTGCCTACGACATGCCGCATACTGTGTGTTCTGAGACTGAGGACACAAAGAGGAAAGCCACAGACCCCGCTCCCTCCGGGCTTATGTTCTGGGTGGGGGTGGGCTTGGAGAGAGGAGAGGGATGCAGAAGCATCGCTGAGATGTAAGATGGCACATCCTGTAAGAGAGGCACGTTCACAGTCCTATGGGAGCAGGATGGAATCCCATAGAAGGATAGAATTGTTTTTCAGAGGAGGACGTGGTGTCAGAAAAGGACGTTGGAGCTTAGATCCTTGAGGGAGGAGTTTTTAGGATTGAGAAGTCAGAGGACAGCAGGAGCAAAGCATGGTGGCTTGAAAATGGCCCAGGATGGCAATAGTGGCTGGTTCCACAGGAGTAGAGTATAGGATGGGTGAGGGGACTAACGGGAGATGATGCTGAGAAAACAGCTGGGGTCAGGTTATATAAGCTGTTGGGGCCTGCTGGGGAGTTCAGACTCCAGTGGGGGAGCCAGCAAAGGTTTCAGGGCTGGGGCATTCTTCAGTCATCCCTACCCCTCCATCCACCTCTTGTCCATCAGGAAGGTGCAAGGACACCCTCTCCACAATCACGGGGCCGACCACCCAGAACACATATGGGCGGAACGAAGGGGCCTGGATGAAGGACCCCCTAGCCAAGGATGAGCGGATTTATGTAACCAATTATTACTATGGCAACACCCTGGTAGAGTTCCGGAACCTGGATAACTTCAAACAAGGTATGTGTGATGGGTCCACTCAGGGGGTTTCCTCCTTCCCCTCTGTCCTCTGTTGCAATCATGTCCAGATCTCTTCAGGTGGTGACAGTGGGCAAGAAGGGCGACACCTTCTTCTGATGGTGAAAGGACCAACCCTCGTAGCGAAACGCCCCCCTTCCACCCTCCTTCACATCCTCTGCTTGCTCATCTCTCAGCTCTGCCCCTCCTTCCCAGCCCCTGGGACATGGGACAATCTGGAGTCCGGTCCAGAAGACAGTGGTGAAACATCCTCCCTTTCCCACAGCCCTTAACAGTTTACAAACCACACTCACGTAGGTTAGCACCCTGGATCCTTGAAACAGCTCAGTGAGGTGGATGGGAATCGTGATTTCTATGTGGCAGATGAGGGTGCTGAGGTCCGAGAGGTTAAGCGGTTTGCTATACAAAACTAGAAAGTGGCAGAGCCAAGACACAAGCCCGGGCCTGCAGACCCCTGGCTGATTGCTCGTCCCATCACATGAGGCTGCCCCGGTCCTGGCAGGCAGGTTGTCTCTGCCCCGTTGCCCTGAAGCCTCCTGCCTTCTCATGGCCCGCAGGTCGCTGGAGCAATTCCTACAAGCTCCCCTACAGCTGGATCGGCACGGGCCACGTGGTGTACAATGGCGCCTTCTACTACAACCGGGCCTTCACCCGCAACATCATCAAGTATGACCTGAAGCAGCGCTATGTGGCAGCCTGGGCCATGCTCCATGACGTGGCCTACGAGGAGGCCACACCCTGGCGGTGGCAGGGCCACTCGGACGTGGACTTTGCTGTGGATGAGAACGGCCTGTGGCTCATCTACCCGGCCCTGGATGACGAGGGCTTTAGCCCGGAGGTCATCGTACTGAGCAAGCTCAACGCCGTTGACCTGAGCACGCAGAAGGAGACCACGTGGCGCACGGGGCTCCGGCGGAACTTCTACGGCAACTGCTTCGTCATCTGCGGCGTGCTGTACGCCGTGGACAGCTACAACCAGCGCAACGCCAACATCTCCTATGCCTTCGACACCCACACCAACACACAGATCGTCCCCAGGCTGCTGTTTGAAAACGAGTATTCCTACACCACCCAGATAGACTACAACCCCAAGGACCGCCTGCTCTATGCCTGGGACAATGGCCACCAGGTCACCTACCATGTCATCTTTGCCTACTGACACCCCTGTCCCCTCAAGCAGAAGTGCAGAGGGGTTACTGGCACCTTGTGTGTGTGTGTGAGTGTGTGGGTGTTTTTGTGTGTAGATGGGTATGTATTGTTTAAAAATATATATATTATTTTGTATAATATTGCAAATGTAAAATGACAATTTGGGTCTATTTTTTTTTTATGTGGATTGTAGATCAATCCATATGTGTATGTGCTGGTCTCATCCTCCACAGTTTATATTTTTGTGCAAATGAACTTCTCCTTTTGACCAGTAACCACCTTCCTTCAAACCTTCAACCCCTCCAGCTCCCAGATCTCGACCACTGAGTTTTCATCATCTGGGTCTTGCAGGCAGATGGCACAGGAGCAGGAGTGAAGGAGGCAAGAAAGAAGTGCTAAGGGGCGGGAAAAAAATTTATGTATTGGAGAAGTTTTAAAAACCCAGAAAAATGCTTTTTTTTTAATAAAGAAGAAACTTAAAATCACCCCAAAATGCGTTTTTGTTTAATGCTGATATGTCTGGTGGGGAATTGGATTCTTCTAGAAGGAGATGTGGTCTGTGTTCCAGCTCCTCTCCCCTGCTGATACGGGGGCTTCCTTGGGTGGGGGTGGGGATTTGGAATGAGCTGATTCGTGTGCTCGCTTTAATTTTGTGGCATTGATCCGTTCACTTCTCTTCTATTGTCAAGACCAAGGAAGGAGCAAGGAAGCTCTGTTCTGCTTTTTTTCCGGTCATTTTACCTGAGATGTGGGAACCTGTTCATTCCTTAGTGCTCCTTCATGTGGCCTGGTGGTAGGCACTGTTGAAAATACGAAGCTGAGTGAGACCTTGTTCCTGCACTTCCTTAAGCAGCTTATAATCTTCCTCTCTTTCCCCCCATAATCCTCTCCTCTGCCTCATCCTGAACATTCGCATTCAGCCAGGCTTTCCTTCCCACCTTCCCCTCCAGGAGAGGGGCCTGGTTCTGAAACTAGGTCCCTGAGGGAAATATTTGCAGGACAGGAAGACCTGCTGCCCCTCCCTGAGCACAGCCAAGCCCTGTGCGGTGCCTGCTGCCCACAGGCGTGCCCTTTCCTCCACGTTATACAAAACAAGAGACAGAAAATCGGAAAAAGCCTCAACAGGTGTCTCCTGTGGTTGTGGGAAGAGGACAGAACCGAAAGATGACGTGGGAGACAAGCACATCGTGTCACCACACTGTCCCCACTGCCCCCCCTTTAGGGAGCAGCTGCTGCCTGGCGAGTCCTTCTGTGCAGACCTCAGATGCCCTCCACTGCACACTGCCCCATCAATTCTTGTGCTGCTTACATCCCCCTGCATGGTGGACGGCTTCCACCCTGACCCTGCTATCAGCTTCCTCCACTTACACTATTCCAAACAATAAATCTCAAGACGACGTCGCTTTATCTTGGGGCTGTTTGGTCAAATTTTTCTGAGCAAATGCAAGTGCCTGTCTGGTTTGGTGGCAGCAGAAGGGTTGGAGGCAGGGAGATGGTGTGTCCAGGGTTCAAAAAGGGTTTGGTTGATGATGGTGGTAGTGGAGCTGCCCGTGTTCAGAGGCCTTGCCCAGCCAGAGGAGGGAGCAAGCATTCCCTCCCAAAACCCAGGCCCTTCTGTCAGGCTGTAGGTCGGAAACCATGGCAGAGACTCAGCCTGAGCCCCAGATAGGGCTGCTCTGAGGGAATGTGGTCACCTCCAGGAGAGTTGCTGGTGGGGAACTTATGTCCTGTGGAAATGTTAACTGTCTATGTATCTATCTATCCCTTATCCATCCATGTAAAGTGATGTATTTACAATTGCCAGACTCCTGGACTAGGACTTGTCCCCACCCACCCCCAAACCCCCGCCCCAGGGACCTCATTGCTGGGTAGCCCAGAGGCCAGTGCTGGATATTTGCCCCTCGACCACCCGTGCCTAGCCCCAGCTTAGGCTCTTTGCTGCTGGGCCTTTCAATCTGCCCACTCTTCAGGTCTCTGCATTAACCTCCTAAAAGCTGGCCTGCCCTGCAGTGTCCAGAAAGGCCTCAGACTTCAGGGTTCCAGAGCTGGGTGGTCTGCACAGATGGGCCTCAGGAACAAGCAATCAGGTCAGTAGGAAGTGGTCAGGGCTCGGTCAGGGCCCAGCTGTCATGCACAATAATTAATTCTGGGAGGCCCAGCTCGCAAGGTGTAGGTGCAGGATTCCAAGACATAGGCTGTCTCCCTGGAAAGCCGGGGCCGGGGCTGAGAAGCCTCAAGGCGGAGGGGCAGAGCAGGGGTTGGGCAGCAGTACCGCCTAAGTCGAAGCGAGCAGCTGCCCTGTCCATGGCCAGGATCTGTGGGCCCAGGACGGAGGCGGTCAGCAGAAGAGGAGGGCAGCTCCCCACCTCGGTGACTCTGGGATCAGGCTCCATCCTGGAAACGCATGTGGTCAGTTATCCTGCGGTGGTTCCTCCGAGCCTCCTCCTGACCCCTCTGTAGGGCGTCCTCACTTCCCGACCCCCCAGTGAGGCAGTGGGAGAGCCTCACTGCTGGGAAAGCGAGGGGGCCACGAGGAACAGCCCCTGGGGATGCCAGCTGCCACGTGTCTGGGTGAATTCACTGCCCTGGGGCCCAACCGCCCACTCAGCCAGGTGAGGCCCTGCTCCCCAGGTGCCTCCAACATGCTGGAAGGAGGAAGCGGAGGAAGGGGTGGCCGGGCCTGCAGGGGGGTGACCGCAGGCCTGAAGCTGGGTGGTCGGAAACAGCTTCCGTGAGCACACCCAGGACTCCTCCAGGCAGCTTTCTCATCATGGGATTCAACTTTGGAAACACAGGACTTGGAGAACCGACTTTCTCAGAAGGTTGAAGAGGCGGAGCAACGGCTGGGTTGTGTTCCACCTGCTGCCAGGCCTGAGGTACGTGACCTCCTCCACCCTCCTGGGCTTTTCCCTCACCTGTAAAACAAGGGCGGCTTTTCCAGCTCTCAGGCCTGCTGGCTGAGTCTTCTCTGAGCTTTGTACCCCCACCTAACCTAGGGCATTTTAATTGCCATACTGATGGGAAAATCGATTTACTTTTGGTTTTCCAGTTAAAGTCTTTCCCAACAGTATCATTTTCAAAAGTAGAGAAAAAATGACTAATGACTCATCCTTTATTCTTTCTACATTCATTTATTCATGCAACAAATATTCATTCAACAAATATTCATGGAGCCCCCATTGGGGATCCTGAGTGACCGAGACAAAGTCCCTGACTGCACGGAGCTTGTGTTCTAGAGCAGGAGAGAGAGAAGAAATGCATTTGTGTGTGATATGACAGGTGGCAATAAAATCAGGCAGAGAAAGGATAAAGAGAAAGATGGGAGAGAGGGAGAGAGTGGCTTTTTGTACAGGCAGGTCACAGAAAGCCTGTGTGGTAAGGGGACATGTAGGCAGAAGACAGTGAGGGCTGAGCATGCAGACCCTGGGGGCTGACAGCAGGGGGCAGGATGGAGCAGAAGCCCTGAAGCGACCCACCCACCCACCCACATCCTCCCAGAGTCGCTCCAGGCACTTGGGGAAGCTGGTGGAAGCACCTGCAACCACCCCAGCACCTCGGGCAGTGAGCAAGTTTATTCTGCGGCCGCTCGCTATGTGCACACACCTGAACACAACTGGGTGATGGCGTGCGGGCCTTCTTCCTCCCGGCTACCACCCAGTGAAGAGGGCTGTCTGCTGGAGGAGACTGTCTCCAGGGCCTGGGTCTGAGTCCTGGCTCCCCCACCTGGCATTCGTGTGACCTCACATAAGTCACTTAGCTTCTCTGAGCCTGGCTTCATGTGTAAAAAGGAGCACAGTCAGCCTACAAGGAGGGTAGATTCATGGAAGATTCAAGCAAAGCAACGCAAGTAAAAGTGAGAAACACATTATCACTATCCAGGCTCGAGTGCTTATCTTGATTCCTCAAGCCAGCTCCTCTCGTGGACTTCCCTGATGATCTCCTGGTCCCCTGGGATACAAGCTTGATGGCCCTTTTTTTACTCCACCTGAGATTCTTTCTTTCTGCACAAGGCACGATGGGAGGCAGTTGGTGCTCATGGACAATTCTGGACTCTGCGCCGTTCTGGCTGTGTGATCTTGGACAAAACGCTGACCTTCTCTGAGCCCTCGGTGAGGGATCTGTCATATATGGCTGTTGGGGACTTCATGAAACAACATCTAAAGTACAAGGCAAACAATAGGCGCTCATTAGTTTTTATCGTGACAACTTTTCAATCATTCAGAAAAACAGAAAGTATAATGAACCCCCGTATCCCCACTACCAAGATATAACAATCATCAATATTTCATTATATTTGGTTCATCTGCTTTAAAAAAATTTGCTGAAATATTTTAAATTAAAAACATCATGACATTTTACCCAAACACTTCAGAAAGCATCTCTTAAAAGAAGGACGTCTTTCTACATAACCTCAATGTAAGAGGATTAGCAATGATTCCTTAAAATCAGTAACATTCAGTTTCCCCAGTTGTCTCAAAAATGTCTGGTACATTTGGGTCTCTGAACCAGATCGATAAATGTCTGCACATTGAATTTATAGTTTTGCATCTTAACACTCTTTCTCATAAACTTTTTATTTTGAAATAATTTTAGATTTACAGAAAAGTTGCAAAGTTAGTACAAAGAATTCCCAAACACCCTTCACCCAGTTTCCCCTAATGTTAACATCTTATGTCATCATGGTATTTGTCAAAACTAAGAAACCATTATGGGTCGGTTACTAGTCACTAAACTCCAGTTAAATCTCCTTTAGTCTAGAATAGTTTCCTCCTGCTCTACCCCCTTTCTTTTATGCCATTGATCTACTGAAGAAACCGTGTTGGTTTTTCTGCAGAATATCACTTTCTGGCTTTATCTGACTGCTTCCTTCAGCCATCATTTATTTGATCCCTCTCTCCTGTTTTTTCTTTAAACGGGAAGTTAGATCTAAAGGCTTGATTAGCTTCAGGTTCAGCATTTTCGGCAAGAAGGCTTCATGGTGATGCTATGAACTTGGTGCTCAGTATTTTCCATATTTGTCCTACTAGTTCCACTGCCTCTTCAGCCTCACCACCTCAGGATGGCATATTGCAAACACCCCACACTTGGTCCACCTGCCCCCTGGGTCCCCGCCCACAGATCTGTCAAGTCCACTCTGGCAGTTGAATCTTATTTTGATCACGTCCCTGCTACCGTCAGGTTGAAAGAGTGTGCCCCCAAGGCTGTCATCATCAAGCAACTCTATTTTTCTTACCAATATCCCTGTAAATTTGTTTGGTGGGCCGAGTTCTTTTCCTGCTCCCATGTGAAAACTTGGGCAGGCCCCTTGACTTCTCTGGGAACTCTCAGGTAATAAAAAGTCCTATGAAAAAGCCCAACACTGATTTTCTTGAGTAATCAAAATGCCCAATTTTAATAATCAAAATATTGAACTTGAATTCGGGTTGCTGCCCCCAGCTCCACCCCTGCTGGGGCCTGTAGGAGGCAGGAATCCTGCTGGTGGTGA